CCCACCGTCAAATTATCCTTCCTAACGATTCTCTGAGGACGTTCATAACTGGATGACGCATAGGGATTGGCATCTTTGGTGCTCCTGTGTAGAGAAGTCAAACTCTTCCTATCAGAGCTCTGAGATGAGTTACTGATATACTGTCCAGACTCAGCGAGATTAGAAATGCTCTTCTTCTGATCAGCAGCAGTTGAAGAACTCGTGTGAAGTGCCTCAGTCGAGGAGACAACTCCCCTCCTATGAAGTACAGAATTGTTAACATCAGTTGATGACGAGGAGATAATATTTTTCCTGTGATGGCTCGATTTCCCGGACTCAACGATTACACGTTCTGTAGAGTGAGCCCCAGCCAATGCCTGCCTGAACTCAGGGCTCGTTTGTCCATTGGTTGTATATTTCGCCTGACTGGATTTCGTGTGCTGCTGAGACAAGTGCTTCTGACTCTCCGAGTGTGTATTAACGTAATCCCTCCTGGAAGACATCTGAGACCTCTCGATCCTCTGTCTCTGCACCTCCTGAGAAGAGAGATGTCTCTCTGAGGAGTGCCTGGAGTCCTCCCTAACCACCTGATTATTGACGACTGTCTGCTGTCTGGAGTGATCGATTGGATGACGATCAGAGACGAGAGACTGCTCTGGAATCGATGAAATAGATCGTCTCGGAGACACTGACCTCCTCTCCCCCTCAGTCACATGAGACTGACTGACATGAGACTGCGACGTTGTCGACATCCGCTGACCACTGGCAGACGTCATCCTCGTCGTCATAACGACACTCCCATCGTCCAGAGTCCTGCTATCACCCTCAATACACCTTCTGCTCTCAACATCACGAGTTGAGACTTTCGTGCCCACATCTTTCCCAGTTCTCTTCGTATAAGTATTATAATTCCTCTGATTAGTAGTCGTCATTGTGGTGGTGTCATCCCCGAGGGAAATTGTCGACTCCATGTGTCTGCGTTTGTTCACCGGCCCAGCGGGACTCGCATCCTTCCTAGTAGGTGAGAATGACTCATTGCTGGTGGTTCTGGTATCCATGCTTCCAGAGCTGATCCTGAGATTGTCCTCGTGCCTCTTGATCTCAGCCCGCTCACCCCTGACGACTCTGTATGTCGATTTCTGGGAGGTGGTCCCCTGGAACTCTCCAGTCATCTTCAAATTATCCTCTCTCCTGATGGCTTCAGTCCTCTCCGAACGTCTGGGAATGTAATCGTCTTTGGGTTGAGCCACAAAGTCCCCTTCAGGCTTGAGATTGTCATCAGGTTTAATCGGCGAACGTCTCTCACCAGGTCCTGCCTGGGACACGACTTTCGTGTAATCATCCTTACGACGAATGTCCACGAACTCTCCCTCCAGTCTCAAATTATCCTCGTGCCTTGTCACGTCCGTCCTCTCAACTCTCATCACCTTCTTGTAATCGTCCCTCGATCGATGAATATTCATCTCCCCCTCCATATGGAGATTGTCCTCGTGTCTCTTCACTTCCACTCGATCACCATTCGTCACCCTGACGTAATCCTCGCGGCTTGTCGGGCTCACATGCATCTCCCCCTCAGGTTTGAGATTGTCCTGGGGCTTTTTGACAGGTGCCCTGTCTCCTCGCTTTGGAGTATAATCTTCGCGTGTCGTGAAATTATGGTCTCCCTCTGGATAGAGATTATCCTCGTGTCTAATTGGAGTTCTGCGTTCAGCTGGACCGACTTTCGTTGGCACTCGTTTCTCGAAATCGCCTTCAGGCTTGAGATTATCCTTGGGTTTCCTCTGGGTGGGACGCTCTGCTGGTTGGTAACCTGGCCTCTGGGGAGTCTGGAAATCCCCTTCAGGTTTCAAATTATCAGGATGACGAATAGGAGTTCTGCGTTCCCCAGGACCATATCTATCAGGACTGGGACGCTCGAAATCCCCTTCAGTTTTGAGATTGTCCTTTGGTTTCTTAACATCCGCACGATCTCCACGTTTTGGAGCTTCTGGTCTCGGTCTCCTCGCGAAGTCTCCCTCGGGCTTTAAATTATCCGGGTGTTTTATCGGGGATCTGCGCTCTCCGGGGCCGATTGGCTTGCAGATGGGACGATCAAAGTCTCCTTCAGGCTTGAGATTATCCTTAGGTTTTTTCTGAATGGGTCTCTCGGCGGGACGATAGCCCTCGTGCTCAGGACGCTCAAAGTCTCCCTCGGGTTTGAGATTATCTGGATGTCTGATAGGCTGTCTCCTCTCAGCCGGTCCCGTCGGTGACTTCGTTGGCCTCTCAAAATCACCCTCTGGTCTCAGATTATCCTCATGACGAACCACTTCTGTACGCTCTCCTCGTGTCACGTGATAATCATCTCTCCGACGAATATCCGTAAATTCTCCCTCGATCTTCAAGTTATCCTCTCTCCTGACAACATCGACACGTTCGATTCTCTTAGTTGTGTAATCGTCTCGTGACCTGTGAATATCGATTTCACCTTCCATCTTCAAGTTGTCCCTGTGAACAACAATCTCCGAGCGTTCTCCCCTCGTCGGTTTAAAGTCATCCCTGGGACGACCTTCAAACGGCCCTTCAGGCTTCAAGTTGTCCTGTGGTTTTTTCTGGACAGGGCGCTCCGCCCTCTTCGGGGAGAAATCGTCCCTCGGGCGACCGACAAAGTCACCCTCAGGATGGAGATTGTCCTCGTGTTTTATCGGCGTTCGTTTCTCCGCTGGTCTGACAGGAGTTTTCACAGGCCTCTCGAAGTCCCCTTCAGGCTTGAGGTTGTCCTTAGGTTTCTTTTG